GGAGGAGGAGGAGGGTGGGAGGGAGGGAGGAGAGGGAGAGGGAGGGGCTGGGGGGATGGAGGAGGAAATAACAGATAGTGGTTTTCCATTATGCTATGCTTAACAAGATAATCTAGGGTAAAGTAAGGGCTTGGGAGACAGCTCAGGGTTCACCACACAAGCATGAGTACCTAATTTCAATCTCTAGTACACGCATGTAAAAATCAGATGAGGCAGCACTACCTGTAATCCTAGCACTGAGGAGGTAGAGATAGGTGGATCCCTGGTGCTAGCTGGCCAGCCAGCCTGGACAAATTGGTGATTCGTCCCAGTGACAATCTCAAAAAACAGGTGGAAAGCTTCTGAGGAACAACACTTGAGACTGACCTCAGGCCTACACACACACACACACACACACACACACACACACACACACACACAAAGTATAAAATGAAATAGTATGCGGTTCATTTTTCATTGATTTTCAAAGGAAGATTGTTCTTAGCTTACGGAGTTTATGTCAGTCTTTTGGTGAAAGGACATTTCTTTCATTTTTCTACCTGTTCAGCATTTCCTCATAACGCACTGTTCATAGATAAATATCAAACAGTCAACACTTCATTATCATTGTTATCAGAGAAAAAGAAAGTGTGGTCACACTGAATCTGCTGTCCATTCCAGATTACACCTTTGCTGAGCTTTTTAACGTTTTTCTTACCAAACCTGAGAACCATGTGTAAAAATCAATCTTTTGTTCACCTTTCTTCTCTTGTTCTTTGCAGATTTGCCATCGACAATGAAATGGTGAAGTCTGTGTAATCTTTTAGATTAGACTAGCAAAACCAAGACATCATCAGATTAGCCTTAGTTCATCAGCAACTTTTTATTAATAACAAGTAATAGCTATTGCTGCTTCATATAAATGCTTATGGACTGTAAAATTCTCTGCACTAGGATTTTCAAGTACGAATGGGAAAGTGGGTTCTGATCTTCCAGTTTATAAGTAAACGCAGTAGGGTTAAGATTACTCATATCTCTGAAAGTCAGTCACACAATTCACTGGGCCAAAAGACAAGGATGCCCTTTTCTACCTGTTTGTAACTTAGATAAAAGGTACAATCAGTTTAACACTATATATTTGGCATTTTTAGTTCTCTATTTTCAGGTTCCAAAAGTTCTGAAGTATTGATCAGCTCATGTCCATCCAGATAGACCTTCACCAATATTTGGAGTAAATAAGTCCCTCGTGTATATTCTCTTTTTCTTCTTTACTCTCTTCCTCATTCCAAAATGACAGCCCATAACATGACCATATTATACAATGAACCTCAAATGCCCCTCAAAGTTGACCTTTCCTTCATTCTGTTCTCTCGGAACTAGTGATACAGTCTGATGCACCATCACTCTCTAGGGTGATACTGGCTTGGTACCTTACTCCTCACAGGTGACACTCTGCATTCCAAAAGAGATTCTCATTGCCTGAAACCAGTATTTTGCACATTACATTTTGAAGGAAAGGAAAGACATCCCGTGGTGTAAATATGCTAGGGAGTTTCTGACAGCTTGAAAGGCTGATAATGGAAATATGTTGAGGTTAGGAAAGTCCTGACAGAGTGGACCAAAATGCTGAGCCTGGCATTTTTCCTTTCACTTAATGAAAGTGCCAAAGGTCACTGTGAACGGAGCACAGCAGTGGAGACAATTTGGCACGATTCCCATTTTCACCCTCAATTTTTCTCTTTATGATTTTTTTCTCTTTATGAATTTTTTCTCTTTACATAAAGTCGCCTCTACCATTCATTCTTGAGTCCAAATTCCCTCCTAATTCAATTGCAGAAGTTTCCAGAAGAAAATGAAAACACTGGGAACGAAGACTTCCAATCTTTGAACAGTGAGGAAGCGAACAAAGTCAATCATTGCAACTGGTTTTAGAAGACTGTAATTCCTACAAAAACGACTGTGTGCTTCAGCTTAAGTAGTTGGACAAAGAGAGACAAATTGTGTAATCGAGGCAAGCTATAAGAGGGAAGAGCATGTCAAGACTTACTACCAATGTTCATAAGGGCAGTCCGACCTGCTAGATCTGGAAAGAGACGCTCATCCCCAAAGACTTAAATGATAATCAGGCAAAAGCGTCTGTGAATGTGTGAACTGAGGATGCTATTTCTCAGCTTGTTTGTGGACCGGTTGCCAGAGAGTCAAGATTTGCTGGCACCATCAGAGAGCCGTCTTTCTAATGGTTTACAACAGCTTTCATAGGTGATTGTATTCCCGGTTCCCCAAAAGGAAACAGAAGGGCATTTAGTTCTTTGGCAGGAGCCCACTTTCACCCACAAGTGCCGTTACTTTAGAAAACAATTTTAGAAATTAAAGGTGAAACCGAGAAATGCTACATTTGGGGGGAAATCACTGCCAATTTCAGCGAGTAGTTACAGAGAAACGCATTTCAAGAGAGTGTTTCTAATGCACTTTCTCCCCTCTGACAGCATTCCTGTCATGGATGCAGCGCTGATGTCAGGTTGTTTTTATATTAGACTTTCAAATCACATCTGGGAACTTAATCTCCGGGAATATGCAACCTTTCTCCGCTAAGTGGCTTTCCAAGTTGGCAGCTTTAAAAGGATTGGAAAACAACACAATTCTCTGGTCTTCACACCCAAAAGGTGAGGTTTTTTGTTTTGTTTTGGTTTTTTCCTGGAATTTTCCCCTTACTCAGTTGCCCCCAAATACCTGATGGATAAAAGTGTAAATGAAGACCTTTTGAGACTGATGAAGATTTCACTGAGATAGGCACTATAGGCCATTAGAACCATGTTCCTTATCGTCACACTCTGGTAAATGAAAACGCTTCCAGTAAAGCTTTGGAGGCTGTGAGGGAACTTGATGAGACACCCAATATATGTCCAGGGCACATTTAGTGCACTGGCTCCACACAGCACTGGCTCTACACAGCACTGCCTTCCAGGCGCTCTCTGTGCTTGGCACACATGTGGTCCTCCTAAGGGAAAAACAGCTGTTTTCACACATGATAACAATCCAGGGGAGGATTTAGCTCTGGAAGAGAAGACTGGAGAGGAATCAATGATGCTTTACTAAGGACACTATGATTTCCCAGATGGCATTTTTATTTAATGATAGTAAAATCTGGTCTCCATGCAATTTCCTCTTTGCAGCCAACTTATTCTGTGAGCTGTCTTGGCACTAGCAATACAAAAAGAAGTTTGGGGTGAAAGCCGCTGAACACTTTCTTGTGGCTTTTTCTCTAAGCAGTGACACGTTACACCAACAATTGCTAACGTAAGCAGATGACACTTCACATTAATGCCTTAACAGGGGCAGCAGAATTTGACAGGGAATTTGTCAGCAAATGTAAGAGGACCCGAAACAAATTATTTATAACTCAGAACCCTGCACAAGTCGACCACAATGGAATAATAGGGTTTGACTATAAAGACAGTAGGACTGAAAAATTAGGAAGAACTTTTTTCTTTCTCTACAATTTTCTATTAGCTGGTTAACATCGAGTATAAAGGGTATTGCTTTTTCCTGCAGTGGAGAGGCCCACCAGGTCTTGGGTGTGAATTGACATGGTATTGAGGCTTCCTAGCCTTAGGGTAGGCTATGTCCCTTTGTTCATCTGCTTGCTCTTCTTTTGGGACCTGGAAGGAGGTGTTTGAGTAGGATAAAGAAGGATACAGTGTGGCAGTGTTGTGGATTTTTTCCCCTTCTCCTTTGAAAATTCTCCTTGTTAAAAGCCAGGCTTAGTGCATACCTGTCATCCCAGTACTGGGGAGGCAGAGGCAAGAAGATCATGAATTTGAAGCCAATCTGGTCTACAATAGAAAAAGAAAATTTTTCTTTTAAGAAAAATTAAATGAATTTTTACATCCCAAATCTGTGGATGAGATGGAAGCTGGAACCCTCCTCTTGGAACAGTTATCCCAAGAGCCTCACAGGACAAGGAACTGCCCTGGAATCCTCACTCACTATCAAGCCAAGCTTTTAAATGAAAAAAAATTGTACTCTAACCAGGATTGTAGCAAGAGTTGTAGTATTTCTGAGTAGACAGTTGATGTGCAGATGTACTGTCCTTTTACAATGATTGTCACGTGACTCTCTCACCCCTTTTGTACTCAGTATCTGTCTTCCAGAAACCTCACCTGCCTTTTCTCCTGTGGGCTTCGGTGACTCAGCCACAGTGTCACATCACTAAGTTGATGTTGAACCTCTAGTTGGCATCACGGCCAATTCTTCTATTCTGGATTTCAGTAATTGATAAGTGACTTAGACAGTTCCTACCGTGAGCATTTCATGCCACAATAGCACTGGTGGGCATATCTTGCCACATCAGCACTGGTGTACATACCTTGTTGTAGCTTGCAGGATACATAGCTGGGTAAGACTGGTGATTAGTTTTCTCTTCAGGTAGCATGCATAACACCTTCCAACACTATGAAAGCTACTTGGTTCTCTTAACTAGGCATTATGGATCTTAGGTAATACCCTGTGACTTTCCCATTTTGAAATTAAAAGAAAAAACCTCTGACTTGCTCTACTTTAAGCACCGGATCCATCAAAGGGGCTGGTCATCCCTTCCCATCTCCTACTGCAAGAAGGCTTTATTTTAAACATCCAGGATAGGGACTGTAGAGGATGTTAGGGAGTTTCTACTCCAGCCATCTACAATGATGCTTAGTCTCTTCACTTTTGTACCTTCTATATGCCTGCATATCACGCCCAACCATGATGAGAAAACCAAATGAAAATGCTTTCCAGGGCAGAATGAACGGCACTATTAAAATAAGATAAATGAGGCTACATTCATCTGCAAAAATTGGCTTTACAGACCCTGTTATCTTCACCCTAACACTGCTTATCAACACAGAAGTTTGAATCCTATAGTCTTGCTTATTATATAAACATGGCTACACTCAAGTTTCTTAGGTCAAAGTCTGGTCTGCCCATTGGCAGTGCGGAGGGAAGACAAATCACTTTGAATTTCTTTTAAGGTTTCTACAGGGACTTGGGATTGATTAACAGCTGCATTTTCAATTTTATTGCTAGCCAGTTTTTGAAAACAGTAAAACTTTTGTTTCTGGAAAACAGACACTTTTTAAAGTGCTGAATATGTACAGGGAGTTTTTGAAGACTCATCTCCCACAGGACTCACACTGTCTGAACAAGTAATCAGTCTCTGCAACTACCATTTGCCTGGACATTGATTCTGAGAGTTTGGTGACAAGCGAGGTATTACCAGATGAACACAGCAAAATCTATTACCTATCTTTTGAGTTATTAGTGTTGATGGTGAAATGCTCACAGTAGGAATTGTCTAAGTCACCTGTCAATTACTGAAATCCCAGAATGGAAGAATTGGCCGTGACACCATCTAGAGTTCAACATCAACTAGTAATGTGACACTGCAGTTGAGTCACCTAAGCGATTTTGTCTATTTATCAATAAGATGCAGAAAAAAAATACTCCCCTGCTTTCTCACTCTGCAAAATAGTGTGGAATTGATTATGCATCTATCTGCAGAACTGCCTGAAACAATCTGTGTACAAACATGTCCTTTGGTCCTTGTGTCCACACCATCAAAGGATCTGGCAGGCCCAGTACGGTCACCTCCCTCATTGACTGGCCAGGGCCTGCCACACTCCCTCCTTCCTGACCTTGCCTATCTCATGACTTTCCTGTTTATTGGTTGGCATCAGGTTCTGCCCTTCTCTTCCACTTATCAAATTCTACCTCTTCTTAAGAATCCCCCAAGAAAGAGAGATGTATAGAGTCATGCTCAAACCCATCAGATTCAAACTTCTGAAAACCAAGTGCTGCTGGTGTTACATTCTGGTCAAAGTGCTTCCAGGTTCTTGGCATCTTGTTCAAAGAATGAGCTTCACGAATTAATCGCCTCAGCTAGCGCAGAAAAGAATGGCATGGAAATATAGTTCAAGGTGATTTCGGCACATTACCCCCAGAATTTCTCACTGAGTAGGTCTGGAGAGGGGGCCTGAGAGTTTGCATTTCTAACAAGCTCCCAGGTGGTGCTGAAACCTGGTCATTTTAGCAGCAAGGATCTGAACAAGGAATCAATCATTTACTCTTCATGAAACTACAAAATCAGAGTGGAAAGTTGAGAGGACTTAGAGAAAGGAGATAATCATGAGTAGCAAATATTAGGAATTGAAGAAGACAGAAGAGGAAATAGCTCTCCTGTGGTGACAGTGGATTAAACAGCTGCCTTTCCACTGTAGCATTCCCAGTACAGGAGAACAGATCAGCAAACAGGAGTAAGTAGACAACTGGAGAAACATATGCCAGTCTCAACACAGTCCCAACCACTGTGAATTCTTTTTACTGGACATTGTTACCTCCAGATTGTCCAGGAGTATCACAATGAAATAAGTTCTACAGATACTAGCTGCCTGAAGAAGAAGACTAGAGAAATACAAAGTGAGTCAGCAATAAGAGACAGTATCTCAGGGGCTGGAGAGATGGCTCAGCAGTTAAAAGCACTTGCTATTCTTTCAGAGGACCCTGGTTCAGTTCCCAGGACCCACATGGCAGCTAACAACTCTCTGTAACTCCAGTTCCAGGGGATCTGACGCTCTCTTCTGGCCTCCATGGACTCTTCAGATGCTTGGAGCATTTATATACATACAGGCAAAACACTCATGCACATAAAGTAAAAATAAGGTTTTTTTAATTTTAATTTTTTAAATTTTATGTGTATGAGTGTTTTGCCTGCATATGTGTAAATGTACCCAGGTTGGCAGTGCCTACGGAGGTTAGATGAGGGTGTCAGACCTCCTGGAACTGGAGTTATAGACAGTTGTTAGCTGCCATGTGGGTGCTGGGAATTGAACCTGGGTCCTCTGTAAGAACAGTCCATGCTCGTAACTGCTGAGCCATCTCTCCAGCCCCCACCCCCAAAATAAGGTTTTTTAAAAAAATACTTTATCTCGGGATTTGAAGTTGTAGCTCAGTGGTAGAGTTGCTTGCTTTGCATACACAGAGCTCTGAGTTTGATCTACTGCATGTAAGAGGGAGGAGAGAGAGAGAGAGAGAGAGAGAGAGAGAGAGAGAGAGAAAGAGAGAGAGAGAGACTGTATTTCTTTCAAAATATCATTAAACCCATGATTCAGAATTGGAAGCTTTAAAAAAGGCTTTGAGCAGCTTTTACAACTGCTCCAATAAAATAAGAGTGAATGATGAAGGAATGTTTGGATAAAGTGAGTTTACATCAGAGGAAGTGTCACGAAGAGACAAAGGAAAGTGTTAGAACTAATATGCTACAGCACTTAAACCCTTCACTGGGCAAGTTCGGTAACATAACGAAGTAGATCATGAACTAGTACATAAATCAATATGAATCAATATGAATTAGCAAATTTATAGAAATTATCTGAGAATGGAGAAGAGAAAAGGGTCTTTAAAAATAAGTAGAGTGTCAGGAACCATTGGAAAAAGTAATTAAATAAATAATGACTAAAAAGTCCCTAATGAAGCTGGATAAAGATAGCACACATCTGTAATCCAGGCACGTGGGAGACTGAGGAGTGAGGCAGGAGGTTATGAGTTCAAGGTCTGCTTGAGCCATGTTGTGAGATTCTGTCTCAAAAAAGTAAAAAAACAAAAACAAAAAAGCCTTTCCAAATATAGT